GGTCCGGCTAAATTAGCGTAAAAAGTTTCAGTCCAAGCGTCTCTGGTGCAAACTGTATGAAACTGGAGACCTTTCTCTGTCCCCTGACAGAATAAAGTGTGGAAGATGAATAATTTGCTCTGCTCTCGTCCGGGAGCTGGTTTTCTACAACACGAGTCACAGAAAGTGTCTTAACCAGATCTGAGCAGATCACGCTACGTGGCTGGATCTGCATGTTGTTAAAGGAACCCTTCGTAACTTTAGTGCACTGAATGAATACGATGCAGATTTCATCATTCTTTGTCAAACTGTGTTTGAATACAAGGTGGTGTGGTGCTGTGACGTGTTCTACAGTCAGACTGCGTGAACCTCTGAACCTTGGGATTGTTAATGAAGACAAATAACTGTGTTGATTCAGGACTACTAAAAACAGTTCTTGGAACAAATGATGAGGTCATTTACCGTATTTTTCAGCCTATAAGTCGAGGTTTTTTGCATAAACATGCCCTGCGACCTATACGCCGAAACAACATATTTGTTTTATTTCCATATTTATAACCCAATTTTTGCCTGAGATTTGACAGTTTTCATTCATTCTGACTGAAAATATTGAACACTACCATTTTCAGCCGCTAGATGACACTCGAGTTGTATGGCAGGCCGTTGTATGATGTAATAGGTAAGTGAGTATTAATGACACAATCGGCTTGCCATAGCCTGCCTCCTTCGTCCAGCTCGCCTGGAGCAACCGTCAAATCGGCTTCATTTCACTGAGCCGCCCCGGAGAAATGCAGCTGATTGGACCATTGAAGTGCATTTATTAAGTAAAAGTTCAACTGAGACGCAACTTTTCTATAAAGTCGAGCAAACAAATAATTATTTTAGGTGCTTGTCTTGTTAAATTTCAAAGAAATGTGCAGCGTTCCTCCTTCCTGATTTGCTCCCGGAGCACGGAGGCAGCGAATACTTTTGAAATGCAGCTGATTTGACCGTCGAAGTGCATTTATTAAGGAAAAGTTAGACTGAGACACACCTTTACTACAATTTAGAGCAAACAAATAATTGTTTTTAAGTGTTAATCTTGTTAAATTCTTGTTACGGTCCTCCCATGCACGCTCCCGTGGCCGTCATTTGGCAGCCCATCGATTTTTGGCACACCGGCCCACATTTCCAGGTTGTCAGAGGTGACGCGTAACAAACGCGACGCATCAGTGGTGACGCATAATAGATGCGACGTATTTATGGACTTTTCCACTTTATTAGACATTTTTGGACTGATGCGACTTATAGGGCGGTGCGACGTGTACGACAGAAAATACGGTACTGCAGCGGCTTCCAAAAAGATCCGGTCAAATGTCTGTAAAGCGTCGTCGTCTGCTCAGCTGTGTTCACTAAATGAGAAAAGATGAACACTGACTTGGAGTTTTTAACTGTCAGAGCTTTAATTTCTGCAGAATGCTCTCTCAAACAAACACCCATGTCACCAAAGTGTGCACATAAAGTACTGGTGCCAGTAAACGTTGGGTGATGGTGATGGGAAGTAATTCCGTCTGACTAAAGTTTAGCTTAGTTCATTTAGTTGCTGTCGTTGAGCTGAAGGGAGGCGAGTTTGAAGTTTCTGTCGGTGTCTTTTCTCAAATGATGCGATCACTGCGTCATGCACTGTTCGTGCACGTTTCCTGGAAAAGGAGCCTGACGTCAGCGAGGGCGGACTGCAACAGGCGGCAGATTGGGAGCGTTGCTGACGTTGTTGCGTCGTTCAGGCTGAAGCGGAGCGGTGATGGATGGGAGCGATGAGGCTGGAAATCGGTTATTCCGTTAGAAGTTTTCCTGCCATCAGCACAAACGCTGCGGCCTCGCCAGCAGCAGGCTCATGTCCAGCACGTCATCCGTCTCTTTCTGCTCGTTCCGCCTTTTTTTCCATTGTTTTGCACCGTCCCGTGTTTTATACGAAACATCAGCCAGTTGTGCTTAAATGTCCCCAAATTAAAAGAACTGTGAAAAGTGATGCTCTAAATCTAAGCTACACAAGACCGTGGGAGTTTTCAAGAGTGAAAGGAATCAACCTTTTTTTAGGCTGCACAGGAACTCACCACAAAGATGGTTTGGTTTTTATTTGTGAACAAAACGGCATGTTTATGTGTAAATAGTCTAAAGTTTCACCTGATCTAAATCTTAACTTCATTCTTGCTCCAACATGCAGAGAAACTAAAAATTTCATCTAAATGTGATGAATTAATTCCAGTTTTCTTTTGTAATATTTTAACAACAGACGTGTTTCTAAAGCTGATCTAGTCAACACTCGGGACAGTATCTTTTCTTCCAAAACCATTTTAACGATGCAAATATTGAATTTCTCAAGCTCTGAAAAATCTGTAGAATTGACTCGTTTTATACTCGATCAAGAAGAGATGACTTCGTTAGTGAGACATTCACAGCTTACACCAAAAAGCGTTCAATGGTTCTCTTTTATACTCTTTGTTTTCTGTGTTTAAATACGCTGGAACATTAGGGTCAATTTAAAACGATAGTAAAACGTCAAGATTTGACTGTCTGCTCTGAAGAATCACTGCAGAAATGAGCCCGAGTCACTGTTTTCTAGAGTTTATGGCTGTTTCAGCATCCGTCAAGTGAAAACGTTGCATCGCTTGCTGCCGTTTGTTCTTTGTTTCTAATATTCGTCATGTTCTCCTGCATTAATCTTCTGCCCTCGTCGTGTTTCTCAGTTCTCTCGTGGTCTCTGCCTCGGCAGTCCTTCCGTCTGAGCCGCAGCCTGCGTCCTCTCTGCGTCACGTTGCAGAGCACGGTTTCTGTCCAGCTCAGGGTTTCCCCTTCTCTCTGCTCATGTGAGGGATTATCCACGATGCTGCAGAGTCCGCTTCAGTCCAGACCCCATGTTTTATCATCCCGAGCTTCGGCTGTCTCCGTCGGGTGATGTAATAATGAAGCGCAGGGACGGGACGGAGGATCAGAAAACAATTTGCTTGTGATTTCTGGAGTATATTTTGGTTTAGACTTGGAGCCTTGTTGGGTAGAAAACTGCACTCCCCGTTACACGAATCACATCTTTTTTTATCATGAAGACCTGATACGTGTAAAACATGGTCAGTCCGTTCTGTTACATGAACTTCCTCCTGTTACTACCGTGTGCATGCTGCTGGAACCGAAACCATAAACACAACCATGAGATGCTGAAACGTCCATCGTTCAGCTTTTACAAAAATTATATGTAGGTCTGATGAGATGAAGACACGGTGGGACTCAGTCTTTCAGTCCTTTATCAGGAGAAAACATTTAAATTTCAGCTGGAGTTCAAGCTGAAATCAGAGAAACGTCGTCTCACTTCCTGGACGTTTGTTCTGGTCTTTTGGCTCAACTCGTACTCGACACAAACGTTGTAACACTTTGTTCGTGAGGAATCAGAACATCTGAGAACAGACAGATTAGTTTTCTGCATCACTATGAAATAGTTTTAAAGGATGTTTTTAAATAATCCTAATTCTTCATAACGGCACCAGCCGAACTAAAATCGTTCAGTTCCTTCGTGGTCCTGAGGCTTTTTAATAATCCATGTAGTTTTGAAAATATTAAAAATGTGTTCTCAGGGTTCTTTCTCTTTTTTTACACAACCTGCTCTCAGATTGTAATAGTAATATTGGTTTCTAGCTAACTTAAGTTGAGAACTACCAAATATTTTTCATTTTTATTGTAATTTATTGGTGATTTTTTAATCTTTTCTTGTTTCAACTGCAGGAATTTCACTCGCTAAACATTTCTTGATTGAACACCGTGTGGTGGCACGCTCCTTTCATTCGTTTAAAATGTTGTTTTTTAATTCAATAAGCAAAATTAACATATCTTATGAAAAGCTGAAGAAGACTTTTTTTTTTTTTTTTGCACAAGAGGAAAAACAGTTGCAATAAATCTTTTCTCTGGCCTTGTCTCAAAGTGTAAACTGAAGTTTAAATATCTTATATGAACTTTGAGCAAAATGGTATTTTGGGATATGACAGAAATTGAAAGAAATCTTCGGTAAAATAAAAAAGTAAAATGTATGGAAAAAAAAAAAAAAACTAGAAGCGCCGGTCCTGAAGGTTGTAATCTGCTGTGGAACATTTGTCCTTGACACTTCCGCCTGCATAAACCCAGTGCTCCCAGTGAGTCCCCGGCACTCTAACAGTTGGATAATCCTCGGCCTGGTTCTGTGCCTGGTCCAGCTTTGAGTTTTGAGTCACGCCATCACATTTTTGTGTTTGCTTTTAACCCGAGCCAAGGATTTAACTCTGTTAAGTCTCTCTAATTGGAGAAATCTTACGCTCAGCCTAAAGCAGGGCTCTTATTGCTCAGTCATAGGATCTGCACAAACCAGCAGCACACAAGACCTTTTGTGCACGGCGCTTACTGTTTGAACTGCACTGCTTTGGTGTTATTTAAGGTCCAAACCTAAGCTAGATGTCATTGGGTTTGAACACTAAAATACTTTGATTAAAAATATAAATTATTGTGGTTTTAGATAAATTATGTGCGTAGGATGCAAAGAATGTTGGGAAACAGTTCTACGTATTGTTGTATTGTGACACGATGGTCTTGTAATGTTAAGAGGTTTTGCATGAGAAACTTTTTTTTTTCCACCTGATTTAAAAAATGCTTTCTGGTTGCTTTTAATCTGTGCAGGGAAATGGCACAATATAAGTAAATTATGGAGTAATTAAGAAAACTACAGACTCGTCGTTAAGGCTGTACATGACAATAGAATGTGCTGGATTAGTTGTTCTCGTTAGAATAATCATTCATTAACCCCAAACCCACACCACCAAACAGAATAAAGACCAAGAGACATTAATTGATTAAAAAATAATAATAATGTTTAGCAGCTAAAGTAGCATTAAATAAAAACAAAAGTGTGTTTTTTCTCCAACTCTGTGTCTCTTATAATACCACAGCTGTGCACTGTGTTTGTTCTCTGGTGTCTTTAAACACTGATTAATTCAGCTTTTATCTCCATTTTGATCTGTTTGCAGCAATCATGTATGTGATGGGAGCACTGGGCCCAGCAGCTGGTTACCTGTTGGGAGGAGTCCTCATTGGCTTCTACGTAGACCCCAAAACTGTTGTCACCATCGACCAGAGCGATCCTCGCTTCATTGGCAACTGGTGAGACCAATCGTTCTGCTTTTGGCTGATGGAGCTGGAAATGGTTTGTTAAAGGTAGAAGTTGATGGCGTGTGTTGCCACAGTGTTCAGGAAGAAACTTTGGAAACACCAGAGACACCCCTGTGAGCCCAGAAGTTAAAGTATTTGCTTCTTATTTACATAATAATCATTTACGTTATGATCAAAGATCCATTTCAGTATTTTACATTTTCTAATTGCCATATAATTCCGTAAAACTGATATCTTCATAAAAAACACAAGCATACCCTGGGGTTATTTTATCACTGAATAGGACAGCACATCCTTAGCTATGATGTTTTTGCCATATTTCACCGTTATCTTGTAAATCTCAGAGAAACATTTTTTAATTCTTCACTGTTTACTCAGACTGAACGGGTTCTCGCAGGGTACAGATTTAAATGTTTTCTGCAGTTTGCACAGTCTTGATTCTTCGATGCAGAGTTTCTGACATCGTACTTTTATAGATGCCAAGTTAGAGTTTAGTAGGATTACTACATGCAGTCTTAAATGTACCATTTCTCTCTTGTAATGCCTTTGTTGGCATTTTTAAAACACAAAGAAGAAAATGCCAAAATCCGACACGCTCCGTTCAACATGCATTGGTAAAAATCTATAAACGTATTTCTGTTTTGTTAACGTTATAAATGTAAAACTCGTCCTAAAACCCAGCATCACCTCAAATATAGACAGTATTTGCTCCTCTGGTTACATATTTCCACATACTTGGCATTTATCTGATATTTGATGCAGCTTAGGATTAGTCATCTGCTTGGAGCCATCTTCTATCTGACAGAATAACCAGTGACTCACCAGGAAGCAGCCGCGCGGCGTCCTACATGAATTGTAGGTGATTATAGCAGGAAGAGGGTGCATGAATGTACCGGCTTATTAATTTATGTGCACATTAATGAGACTCAAAGATGAAATGATCTCAAATCCAGAATGCCTGTTGCATGTTTCACACCAGGGATCAACAAGCTTGTAGTGTAATTTGATGATCGGGGACAGTTTGAAGTTCATCAGTTCACACCTGGTGTTCCAGCGTGTCTCCAGATCGACTTCAGGTGGACGCTTGTTGTGTAATCTCTGCTTTCTGTTCAGAACGCGGACACGTGCATCGTACACCCAGCCGGCTGTGAGCAACAAACAGGACGTGTGGGTCTGCTAATGTTCCTGCAAAACCTGCACTTACATTTAGTGATGAGTCTACATGAGAGCGTTAATATGACACAGTTTTAGGTCGGAGATGCACCAAAGCCACATTTTGCTCTTAATATTTCATGTTGGTGTGATATGGCATAAAAGTAACAGAGATGACAAACATAAAATTATTGTTTGTTTTCTTTGCATTTTAAAGTCACAATTTATTCTCAACTGATTAAAACTTTGCTAACTTAACCTCCAGGTTTCAAAAACTTTTCTTCTAGACCATTGTCCAAAGAAAGTTCAACACCCATAACATTGGAAACTAGTGGTGAAATTAATTAATTATTATTATTTTTTGTCTTTTTATGCAATGTGATAATCAACACACGGCTAATTGCCTGATGTGGACTTCTTCATGGCTCTCCTTCGTGGCTCTTCTTTGTGGATCTTCTTCGTGGCCCTTCTTTGTGGCTCTTCTTCATGGCTCTTCTTTGTGACTCTTCTTTGTGGATCTTCTTCGTGGCTCTTCTTTGTGGCTCTTCTTCATGGCCCTTCTTTGTGGCTCTCCTTCGTGGCCCTTCTTTGTGGCTCTTCTTCATGGCCCTTCTTTGTGGCTCTTCTTTGTGGCTCTTCTTCGTGGCTCTTCTCTGTGGCTCTTCTTGGTGGCTCTTCTTGGTGGCCCTTCTTTGTGGCTTTCCTTTGTGGCTCTTCTTCGTGGCTCTTCTTTGTGGCTCTACTTGGTGGCTCTCCTTCATGGCTCTACTTGGTGGCTCTCCTTCATGGCCCTTCTTTGTGGCTCTTCTTCATGGCCCTTCTTTGTGGCTCTTCTTCATGGCCCTTCTTTGTGGCTCTTCTTCGTGGCTCTTCTTTGTGGCTCTTCTTGGTGGCTCTTCTTGGTGGCTTTCCTTCATGGCCCTTCTTTGTGGCTTTCCTTCGTGGCTCTTCTTTGTGGCTTTCCTTTGTGGCTCTTCTTTGTGGCTCTTCTTCGTGGCTCTTCTTTGTGGCTCTTCTTCGTGGCTCTTCTTTGTGGCTCTACTTGGTGGTTCTCCTTTGTGGCTCTTCTTCATGGCCATTCTTTGTGGCTCTCCTTC